CAACATACGCTAATCAATGAGCTACCAGAAGAGCAAAACAGAACCCCTACCAGCACTGGCAAGCAGGCCACAGTATATAAATAGAGAGCAAACCCCATCCCATTTTAGCACTGAAGATGTTACCTAGCCGTTTGCAAGAAAAGAACCAAGCTCAGAGAACCCCAAGGACTCCACAGTTCAACCCTGAGCTACACATATTCGCCTCCATTGCTAAACACTGCTTTTTCTGATTGATGGTATATCCTTTACCCTCCGCATTTTCAAGATCACCGGTTCCGTAACAGTTTTCCTCAATCCTCAGCATAACCTTTATACCCCTATTTCTTGATTCTATGATTTCTCTGAACACCTGATCATGACCCAGCTTGAGTCTACATCTTGTGTTCAGATTTTACTTTCTTCCTCCTGATAATAAGTAGTACAACTGATTATCTTTGCATAGTGGGGGAGAGGATGTAAGGGCTTTAAAATTACACAGATCCTGAGCTTGATGTCATTACTACTCTCTGCAAGTTATTCTGTGATTCAGTTTCCCGTAATACATATTTTAATGTTTATCTTTGGAGAAAATTATGCTATTATGATTGGACAAAGTCATAATCAGGAGCCGTATTGTACTGGTTAGGCTGTTCATTTAATGTAGCCTAGTATTTCATGCAGGGATCTTTTTCCAGCCTCTCTTGGAAATCCTGGGGGGTTGAATCCCTGACCTTTGGATCTACCACATAACAACAACAAAGGAAGTGACAGTTCATGCATAGTCTTGTACGCCTTTCTGAACAGTAGTTTTGGAGTATTCAGAGCTTCCTAGTTTAGCTGAGCTTCCATTGGGTCAGAATGCTAACTAGGGGATAGAGAAAGCCTTTGTACCCTTTTTTTCTTTTTTCACTTGGCACACTAAAATACTTCTATGTAATAGGCATTAGGTGATTACTGTACTTAAATTTCTATAATATACAGGGTCTGCTTTAACCAAATATTGAGAAAGACCATTTTCAGTGGAAGAACTTGTGCTTTCTTTGTAGAATATCTCATATCCAGTCCCAGACAGAAATCCTGGAAAGCCATTGTTAGTTTGCGCGGGCCGTACTTAGTTTGATGGTCCAGCAGTCTGGTTTGGAGAAAGGCAGCTTCCTGTGTTCAGTATTGCTCAGAAATTATCGTTAGTGTTGCTTAGCTCCTTTCCTTGCACTGGGAATATTTAACAGCTGGAGTACTGAATTATAGATTTCAGATATTTCCATAACTCTTTCATTGCAGTAATGGTTTATAAAATGGTGATATGCTTGTTGCTTTCTTTCTCATGATAAAAACTTGATTAATAGTTGAGTCTTGTGTTATATAAAGAGCAGGTGATAAATGCAGATGTTCTGACTGGAAGAAACAACGTATTTCACACTATCTTGCTGCCTGTTTTTTTTCTAAATGTTCATAAATTTATATTATTGCTTTAGTTTTAAAGCCAGCAGATTTTGGTGATGTAAATCAGCATGGGAAACATTTCAACCATTCAGTTCAACATCTGCCCTATACTGTTCTCACCTGTTCACCTTGACTGGAAAATAAACCAAAGCATTCTCTCAGTCTAATTACATATGATCTGTTTAATTGTTACTGAATTGATTAACACTTAATTAAATGTATACATGACCTTTATGTCTGAAATTGAATAAAAAGATATAGAACTTAGTATGTGCCCAAGGTTGGAGGTGTCAGCATTTGAACTTTTATGTCTCTTTCTCTGTTGCAGTCCTGTTACAGTTGGCTAGCGAAGCTTTACCAAATGACATGACATTATCTCTTGCTTACCTGCTTGCATTACCCCAGGTATGTTCACAGATGGGACATGCTTCTTGACTGCTCTAATCTCTCACCTGCTTCTTATATTGAGTCTGAATCTAATTCCCTTTAGAGGATGAGCATATAATATGCCTCAGCTCAATAATAAGCAAGCCTCTGTTATATTAGGTTCTGAAGAAATTTCAATGCTTGATCTGATGTGAGGCTGGTAGGGGAAGAAATCATACTTCCTCTTCAGTCTAGTGCACCAGCCTTTTCAGTCCACCAGTTCTGATTCTGTTAACATGCACGCTTAAAAGTCAAGCTACCCTGTCTATCAGTGATAACAAAATCCTAAACCATGCTACTTTAAAGCTCCGGCATTAAAAAGATTAAAAAAAAAAAAAAAACTTCACATGAACAAGCTATCAGACATACAGAGTTCTTTTTCATCTCTAAAATGAATGTTGGTCTTTTGTGTAGGCTGATATTCCAGGCATAGACTATATGTTGTTGTTCAGTCGTTAGGTCGTGTCCGACTCTTCGTGACCCCATGAACCATATTGCACCAGGCCTTCCTGTCCTTCACTGCCTCCCTGAGTTTGCTCAGTTTGCTCAGTTTCATGCTCAATAGACTATATACATTCATGAAATAAACCTTCTAAACCAATCCATTATCCTATACCAGTGAGTTAATTGGTTGTAGATTTTGAATATTAAACACACAATGAGAGAGAGAGAGAGTGACTAACACTGCATATTCTGCCTGGGGATTATTTATTTATTTTGTTGACACAGTCACATCTCAGACCTGATCCAACTAGCCAGGCTAATCTGAGCTTCCTCTACCACTTCTGATAGACAGAATTGGCACTTACAAATATTCCAAAAGCACACTCTCTGCTTTTAACTGTCTTCTTTCAGACTGTTTTTTCTTCCCCCCAAGAGTGGAAAGTTATAGGGTAGCCAAAACAGAGTTAAGATTTGCAGATCCTCCCAACTATCAGAACTTATAAGCACCCGATATTCTTTTCCATAATCAAATGAGGCTGTAGGCCTCCAGCCAATCAGAAGAAAAGATGGCTGAGGGTAGGGGCAGGAGAACCATCCCCGAAGCTCTACTTCCTAATCTCTTTTAGCTCTCATAATGTATAGAAAGTGAATCCAGCCCTTGGTTTAAATTCAGTTCCATTCTTGTAATTTATATTCTGCCTCTGATATACAAGGGTAGCTTACAATAATATGAATATACAATAAAGCCTTTTGAAATAAATGCATCATTAGACAAGCAGAAAGCCAATTATATTTGATGTGATACACATTCTGTAATCTTGTAGCCACTGAGAAGGTGCTGTCTCAAGTCAATCGTGCTTCTATCCATGTTGAAGTATGTCAGTAACAAGAAAGCTCTTACCACTGGATCTTAGAAAGCTTCCATGTCCACTCTCCACAAAGAATATTCTTTGGCTTCAGGATATTATTATC